AGAAGTAAAACTTTCACTATTTGCAGATGACATGGTGCTATACATAGAAAACCCAAGAGTCCATCAAAAAACTGCAAAAACTGCTAACTTCAGTAAAGCTGTAGGATACAAAACCAACATACAAAACTCTGTTGCACTGCTATACACCAAAAATGAGCAGCAGAAACAGAAATTAAGGAACTAATTTCATTTACAATTGCACCAGAAACAAGATACCTAGGAATAAACCTAACCAAAGAGGTGAAAGACCTGTACTCGAAAACTATAAAATACTGATGAAAGAAACTGGATGATGACACAAAGAAGTGGAAAGACATGCCATTCCCATGGATTAGAAGAACAAATATTTTTACAATGCCTATAATACCCAAAGCAATCTACAGATTTAATGCAATCCTTATCAAATACCAAGAGCTTTTTTCAGAGAGTTGGAACAAACAATCCTAAAATTTGTAGGGAACCCCAAAAGACCAATGAATAGCCAAAGAAACCTTGAAAAAGAAAAACATAGCTGGAGGCATAATTCTGGACCTTAAGTTATATTACAAAGCTGCAGTGATCAAAACAGTATGGTACTGGCACAAAAATAGACACATAGATCAACAGAACAGAATAAAAAACCCAGAAATGAACCCACAATTATACGGCCAATTAACGTTTGACAAAGCAGAAAAGAATATCCAATGGGAAAAGACGGTCTCTTTAACAAATGGTGTTGGTAAATTGAACAACATGCAAAAGAATGAACCTGGACCATTCTCTTTCACCGTACACAAAGATAAACTCAAAACGGATTAAAGACCTAAATGTGAAACCTGAAACCATAAGAGTCCTTGAAGAAAACACTGGCAGTAATTTCCTTGACATAAGCCATAGCAACTTTCTACTAGATAGGGCTCCTGCGGCAAGCGGCAAGGGAAACAAAAGCAAAAATAAACTATTGGGACTACCTCCAAATAAAAAGCTTCTCCACAGCAAAGGAAACAGTCATCAAAACTGAAAGGCAACCTACAGAATGGGAGAAGATATTTGCAAATGACATAGCTGATAAAGGGTTACTATGCAAAATATATAAAAATCTTATACAATAAACACCCCAAACACAAATTATCCAATTGAAAAATGGGCAGAAGACATGAATACACATTTTTCCAAAGAAGGCACACAGATGGCCAAAAGACACATGAAACGATGCTCAACATTTCTCATCACCAGGGAAATGCAAATCAAAACTACAATGAGAGATCACCTCACACCTGTCAGAATGGCTAAAATCAACAATACAAGAAACAACAGGCATTGATGAGGATGTGGTAAAATGGGAACCCTCTTGCACTGTTTGGTGGGAATGCAAACTGGTGCAGCCGCTCTGGAAAACAGTGTGGTGGTCCCTCAAAAAGTTAAAAATAGAAGTACCCTACCATCCAGCAATTGCACTACTAAGTATTTACCCAAATGCAATAATACTAATTCAAAGAGATACATGCACCCCTATGTTTACAGCAACATTACCTACAATAGCCAAATTATGGAAACAGTCCAAGTATCCATCGATGAATGGATGAAGATGTGGTATATATATAAATACTATGGAATATTATTCAGTCATGAAAGAGAATGGAATCTTGTCATTGGTAACCATGTGGATGAAGCTAGAGAGTATTCTGCTAAATGAAATAAGTCAGTCAGAGAAAGACAAATACCGTATCTCTTATGTGGAATTTAAGAAACAAACGAGCAAAGGAAAAAAGAAAGGGAGAGGTAAACCAAGAAATAAGCTCTTTATAACTATAGAGAACAAACTGATGGTTACCAGAAGGGAAGGGAAGGGGGGGGGGGTGGTGGTGAAACAGGTGATGGGGATCAAAGATTGTACTTCCTATGATGAGCACCCCATGTTGTATGGAAGTGCTGAATCACTATATAGTACACCTGAAACTAATATTACACTGTAGGTTGACTAAATGGAACTTAAATGTGAATGTGAAAAGAATAACTGATATAGCTTTCTAAGAACAATTCCTAACATGACATAATATGTGTCTATACTTGGACATATGACATTATACAGAGAAATAAAATGTATTTAGAGATGGTATGACAATACACCGAGCAACCTATGAGAATCTAATTGTTAAATCTAGTAAAAACAGGTGTGTGGGAGATGACATCCCATTAAAATTATCCATACCCAAATAGAACTATTGTATCATCCAGCAATCCCACTTCTGGATAGATTTTCAAAGGAAACAAAACCATTATCTCCAAGAGATATATCTGTATTCCCATGCTCAATGCAGCATCACTGACAACAGCCAAGGCATGGAAACGACCTAAGTGTTGGTGGAAAGATGGGTGAAGAAACTGTGGTATATAAATATAATGGAATAGTATTTCAGCCTTAAAAGAGAAGGAAATTCTGTCATTTGCAACAACATGGGTGAACGTGGAAGTCATTATGCTAAGTGAAATTAGCCAGACAAGAGGAAGACAAATACTTTATGGTATCACTTATATGTAGAATCTGGCGGGGGTGGGGAGTGGTAGGTGAGGTGACAGGTGTGTTAATTTACTCAATGCAATGCGTGTAATTGCAGAAATCCTTTCACTGTGTGTGTGTGTGTGTGTGTGTGTGTGTGTGTGTGTGTGTGTGTGCGCGCGCGCATCAAATCATCACACTGTGCAGTTTATCTTACAATTTTATTTGTTGGTTACACCTCAGTAAAGCTTAGAGGCACCTGGGTGGCTCATTCGGTTAAGCGTCTGACTTTGGCTCAGGTCACGATCTCACTGTCCATGAGTTTGAGTCCCACATCGGGCTCTGTCCTGTCAACGCAGAGCCTACTTCAGATCCTCTGTCCCCCACTCTCTCTGCCCCTCCCCAACTCATGCATGGATGTGCTCTCTCTCTCAAAAATAAAAATTAAAACATTTTTTAAAATGCTAAAAAATAAAGTAACCCTAACCCATATTTATGATTAAATTTAACCAAAACATTTCTGGGCTCAGCCCAAATAGCTCCTGCTCAGAGAGGCCTTCCTTAACCACTCTTGTAAAAAAAGTATTCCCTCACTTTTCTGTCTTAATCACCGTCTTATTGTTTAACCCTGTAAAGGTAATGTGGGTATAGGGCCCTCGGGGTTTGTAAAGTGATACTAAATAATGTCTACATTTATTAGCAGGGAGACTTTTTATATAAAGAAACTTTAATTCAATTATTTTGAGTACCTAGCAGTGGCCATTAACCATATAGGACTACTTAAATTTACATTTCAAAATTCCGTATTTATAAATATTCCTACAATTAGCTGAACTATAAAAAAGTTACTTTCTATAGGGAGTATAGAAAGTATAAGCATTTTTCATATGCTTACAGTGTCATCTTTTGTCACCTAATAATTACAGTCTCCTTGCCATGAATTTTGTTCTTCTGGTTTTGTTTTGTTTAATCTTAATGGGAACTACAATGTATCAAATGAAAGAACCGATGGAAGGAGGGCCCTGTCCCCATATTACCTTCACAAGATTAAAAAAATTAACACTAACAGACAATTTCTCATGAGAAACAATGAAAGCCAGAAGACAATGGAATGTAAATTTCAAAGTGGTCAAATAAGATAATTCCACCACCAGCAAAAACTCTCATTAAAAATAAAAGTGAGGAAACTTTGGCTTTGGCTATTGCCAAAGTTCACTAAGAACTAGAAAAGTTCAGGGAAAAAAAAAATCAGAACTTCTCATTTTGAAGGCAGCAGAGAGCTCCTGAGGTAATGAGAACAGAAGGGGCTACGACTCCAAAGAAAGAACAACTTTGGAGAGGAACCTGATTTCTGTAGCTGCTTTCCCCCCGGGGCCCTTGCTGATTTGGCAAAAATCAGCAGTTGGCAGAAGCTGGGATTAGCATTGGCAGGTAAAGGCTGATCCACAAGCTGATGTAATTCTCACAAGCATCTTCTCAAGGTTGATAAAATCCCTAGATTAGTAGAGTGCATAAATTCTTCTTCCTAGGGCACACACACCCATGTGTTTTGGGGGAATCAGGGGCACAGCAGATCGAAGTGTCCAGGAATCTGATGTTAATTTTTTCAAGCCCTCCATGGTGGCATTGAAACTAAAGAGACCTTACAAAACAGATGCACAAATATGACAGTATTTTTTCCCCTAAAGAGTGGTTATAAAATTTATGTTTTGGGTAAACTCTGATTACTCAATATTTTACTTTCATATCAAATTATAACTGATTTTCCATGCTACTGCCTAGAGTAAATGTCTATGTGTTATGCCTTTTATCAGACAACTAAGCAAAGTCTGCCATACACAAAAACAAAATGTTCTAATTAAACAAAAAAAGGTTTGTAAGTATAGCAACCATAAAAGTATTTATTGGTAATTAGATCAAGAGATGACTCTAATATGGCTTTTAAATGGTGACACGTGGAAGGAATATTTCATTCTTAAGAAAAAGTAAAACTAAATAGCAATGCATTATAACAACCACCTATAAACATTTTGCAAAGAAAACTAGGCATTCTACATTAAGAATAAGAGAAAACATGGGGTGCCTGCATGGCTCAGTCGGTTAAGGTCGAGACCTTGTGGTCTGTGGGTTCTCGAGCCCCACATCGCACTCTGTGCTGACAGATCAGAGCCGGGAGCCTGCTTCAGATTCTGTGTCTCCCTCTCCCTCTGCCCCTCCCCCCCACTCATGCGCTATGTCTCAAAAATAAACATTAAGAAAATAATAAAAAAAGAGAATAAGAGAAAACTTAAACACAGTCATTTAAAGCTACAGATAGTTCAAAGTTTAGAGGCAAAACATATTAAATGAAACTTCTTCATACACAGCAAGTACTGTTTCACTAAGTAAAATCTTGATCACATTTAATGAATATAAAATATATGAAGGAGACAGTGTCCAGAATCCCATTAAAATACATATATGTGTGATTTCACTTATGGGTGATCACATTTGCTTAAGTAAGGTAAGTTAAAACACTTACCTGGGTTTCATATAAGTGGGCAATGTGAAATTGAACTGCAAAGATGATGGAAAATAAAAATCAATACCATTAGAGTAGTGTTTAGGGTAAATTAAAGAAGAATATAAAATGCCAAACATAAGCACAGTCTACACTATAGAGATTTAAGTAACAGAACATAACTTTTATTTTTAGTAAGACAAAATACACAAGCAAACACACTCAAGAACATGACACAAGAAGCTGTTTGTGCCACATGTATTCATTGTTGGTCATTATCAAAATTTGTCAGTTTAATTATTAAAATCAACATTAAAATCTATAGCAAGTGAGTATATTCCTTACAACATTCAAAACTGTAAGATTAAGCAAACAGAGAAAACTCTTATAATAAATCTATGCATATCAAAACATGGTATTTTAAAAACAGAGGTCCATGTCAATAAAATATAGTAAAGTCAGTATTTCGGTTAAAAAAAAAAAAGTACTAGAACCAAAGAAAGCCTCTAATTCTTTACACTGTATTTCATAACAACATTTATAAAGAAGTCATAAACCAGGATGACTCTAGTAACAACACACAGAGGAAATGAGTTGTTGCATTTCTCTATCGGTTGTTCAGAATTATTCAAAAAAAAAAAAGACAAACCACTTAGAAGGCAAGAATAGTAAAGAGTCACAAGATTAACAAGTATGTCTTGAAAATCAAATAAATATACTTCAGCTTCTGTTTGCAGGTCTTCCTGATATACTGCATCACCAAAGTACGAATGACGCAACAAAAGCAACAACGAACCAGGAAATCAAAACTGGATTCTAGCTACTTTAATGCTATAATTCCCATTCTTCAATGACAAACCTCTTTTTTAAATGTTCCATCTACCTGGATTTCACAGCTGGATTTCAAAGAGTCTGGGAGCCTATCAAATGTATATGCAAAATGTTTATGTGCATCTTTGAAAACAAGGTCCACACAGCTATCATCAAGTACTCACTGAGGGATGCACCATGAAGTAACTCTCTCACTGATTCTCCTAACAGTAAGATTCACCTGGGAGGTTTGTTAAAAATAGAGATTCCTGGGGCGCCTGGGTGGCGCAGTCGGTTGAGCGTCCGACTTCAGCCAGGTCACGATCTCGCGGTCCGTGAGTTCGAGCCCCGCGTCAGGCTCTGGGCTTGATGGCTCAGAGCCTGGAGCCTGTTTCCGATTCTGTGTCTCCCTCTCTCTCTGCCCCTCCCCCGTTCATGCTCTGTCTCTCTCTGTCCCAAAAATAAATAAATGTTGAAAAAAAAAAATTAAAAAAAAAAAAAATAGAGATTCCTGAGATTATGATTCAGTGAGCCTGGGGCAAGGCCTAGAAGGCTGCCTTTTTAATGGGTTCTGCAAGATATTCTGATACCTGTTCCCTCGACCAGCACCTGGGAAGAACTAAACTAAGTAACCCTAAAAAGCAAAACAAACAAATGAAATATATAATGAACTTTAAAACCAAACATTTTTGGATCGAAAGTAAATACTACATCTCTCTCCATAATCAATTGTTAAATATCACACATTAATCAGAGATGAGGCAAAACAAATATCTTTAGAAAATGAAAATCAGTTTTGTGAAAAACACATAAAAATAATAACAAAATTTCTACATATAGAGATATCCCCTTTATCCATATCTGTTGAGGGCTTTTCTTATTCTGCACTCCCCCTTTCCAATACAGCTCTCCTTGAGATTCAAGTCCAAATCTCACCTCAGTGCATCACTGGAGGGAGACTGGGTTACAGGCTAAGAGAACGAGAAAGGGATGGAAAAACTATATTCATTTCCTATCTTCTTACACCTCTAATAAAGGTGATAAGAAAAGAACTAGCTAGCTAGCATCCGCCTTTAACTACCGCCTTTAACTTCCTCCAAGCTCAGTCCCTAGGCCCTCCATCTAGGGCCCCCCTAAGCAATGAATTACTAAATCCAGTGTCATCTTTTGTAGTGTGAAAGTCACCACATATTTAAGTTGTTAAAAATCGTCTTCAAGTGAAATATAACCATACAACCAAAAAAGCACCACTTGGCAAGTCTCAATTAGAAGTGGAAATTTTTAACAAAGATTGCCGTAAAAGGTTCTGAAATTAAACTTTATTCAGAAATTATATATTACTTTTAGAATTAAGAGAATTAATTAAATCTAGAGGAAACAATTTTATCCCAAGGGACCAACATATAATGAAAAGTCTCACGTTACCATGATTCTGCTTTTTAAAACACCAACTGTAATTAACCCCTCTTAAAAAGCTCTAGACGCAATAAGTGTATCTACTTACTTTTTAATTGCATAAATGAACTGTGCCATAAAATACAAATATCTCATATAGACATTTTTTTAAAAGCTTACTTTACTTTCTATAATTTTCTGATCGTCTGAAGTATCACAAAGTAACATGGAAGATTTCAAAGAGTAGTCAAGGTCTGTGGCATACACAAACAGGTGATGACGTTAAAAATTCAAAGAGAAATACGCTTTGCAAAGATAATAAGAGCCTGGTATTTAAATAGTAATAATGTCTGGCTCAAAGTAGGTAATCTACATTTGTTAGTGCTCTGTGAGACATCAGCCATTACCATGGCTATCATGTAATCACACAGACTGCCTAAAATAAACTACCCAAATCAACTGAACTATAATGGCCTAATGTCTCTAAATAAAGCCTGTTCCCTTCCATCACAGTAACCAGCCTTATAGCACAGAAAGTCCTGAGTCCAGGCAAACCAGGATGTGGGTTACCCTCCCTCCTATTTCCCTTCTCAACAACATACAGAGAGAGAGACACAGTAAACTTGAAAATGTATTCATGATGGTTCGAATATCCTCTTCACGTTCAACAGGAAAAGTTTTCTGCCCAATGGTACTCATTCTACAGATGTAGGTGTCTTCCTCTCAAGCAAGAGCAAGGACCTACAACTGAGATTTAACTTCAACAGAGCAGAATAAAATGAGGATTTACCAAAATAATTAGTCTAAACTTTATGAAACATCCCTCAAAAGTTATCATTCAAACAGACATACAGTTATGAGAGTTAGCTTTAAGGTACAAGATATAACCAATTAAATGAAAACAAGCTGTTCCCTTACTCCCATATAATTAAGGAAAAAGTATAAATTAACATTTAATAAATGTATCGGAGTTAAACTTTTTTCTAATCTAACCTCGTTTTAGAAACTACAATATTGCTGCCACCATTTATTCAGCAAACACACTGATCGGTAGCAAATCCTGAGTTTCATTTAAAGAAAACAGAAATCTTTTATGTTTTTTCAGGAAACTGCCTCCAGTAGAAGCATGATATAATTGGTCTGGCTTAGAAGATGATTTAATCCACACCATGTCGTAATTCGTGTACTAACAAGTTACATTCTAATTTCTACAGTCTTTTCATGTACGCAATCATTTTCTTAGGCATTTTTAACACTGACACTACTTTTCACCTGATGTCATTCTATGGAGTTAAAACACGAAATCACTTAGAGCGAAATACCGACTTTCTAAAACCTAGAATCCTTTAACCTGAAATTTTCACTAAGAATGATTCAATTTTTCATACACTCTAATTAAAATTTTAATATTTCAAGAAAGTTTTAAAGAAATCGAGCTTGAACCCAATGAATATCCTTTAAACTTTTATTGGCTATACTGTAGAGAACACTAAATATGACAACACATGCATATTGATAAACACACCATAATCAACCCAATCTGCTTTTGGAAAGAGACGTACACAGAAGCAGAAAATAACTGAAGAAAACCACTGTTATCGGAACAGGTTTCTCACACACATTCTTTCTGAATTAATTGAAAAATGTCACTTCAAACTTTATATATGATGTGTAAAGCTGTAATAAAAAAAAAAAATCAAAGGAGTATTCATAATTACCAATAATTTTAATACCACACAGCAGGAATCGGTGAGCTACCACGTAAGAATCTCTGTATACTTATTTTTCCTAAAACACTGGCAAACCCTGTTTTTAATCCCCCCAAGTCATCTATGATATAATTAATGCATAATCAATCTTGTTCATTAGGGCAGACAATTTTAATTCAACTACCCAGTTCACTGGCATATCTATTTTAGACACAGGCTGTTCACAATAACTGGTCTCACATGTTCCATCTGTACAAGTAGCCATGGCAACCAATACAGTTAGATTCAATAATTCTAGAAGAAAAATTGCAAAGGAGTTTATCACTATCATCATCATCATCATCATCATCATCATCATCATTATCACCATCATTACTACTATTATTTGCCATGAGGTGATCTGAATACATGTAGAAAACTATTACTTAAAAATACTTACTTTCAGCATTGGACAAAGTGCAGGGATTGCAGTCAACCAAAGCTAACTGAAAATGCTGCAAGAAGAGAATGAGACAATCAGTGCACTAAATTCAGTCATATACATGTGCCTTAATTTCCAGTACATAAGGTCTAACATAATCATGAAACCATGCTAGGCTAATAAAACACACTAGACAAACAGCTGGAATTACTTTGTACATTTATTGCTGATAACCTGCTGCTGGGTTACTTTCTTGAGACAAGTGAGAATGGAGAATTAACTTTAATCAAGTTATTGTATGTATAATTTTGCTTATATGAAAAAAGCTTCAGAAAAAGCCTTCAGGTAAATAGTAAGTATCAGGTCTAGAGCAGTTTAAATAGTTTAAGACCATTATTTTAAAAACTGAAAGTTAGGGGTGCCTGGGTGGCTCAGTCAGTTAAGCGCCCGACTTCAGCTTAGGTCATGATCTCATGGTTTGTGAGTTCAGCCCCACACCGGGCTCTACTGTCAGGGCAGAGCCTGCTTCGGATCCTCTGACCCCCCCCCCCCCTTACCTCCCCACTCACACTCTCTCTCAAAAATAAATAAACATTCAGAAAAAAAACTATCTGAAATACTACCAAGGATGCATCAAATAGCCTGTGTTCAAGCTCCTCTATGAAATATAGTTTTCTTTTTAGAATGCATATGCTATTATATATGTAGGCAACATTAAACCACGAATAGTTTACAGTACCCATTTATAACAAGATCATATAAACCTGCCCAAAAAATGCATGCTAAATTCAGTGGATAACATGAATTTTTAAGAACACAAACCATGATCAAGGACACTGGGTGACATGTGACATCTACTTTATCAACATTAAATCTGGTGTATAAACTAAGAAAGAAAAACGAGTACCAGAGTTGGTATAAAATCCTTAAGATAAAAAAAAAGTAAATCTCTTTGAACTCTGAATAAAAATATTTCCATATATGTATATTCAAATTTTCTGATTCTCTACAAGTTTTAACATTAAAAGTAATCAACAGCCAAAGCACAAACCCATTAAAAAAGTATTTTGACTACAATAAGCTCATTCTTCTCCACAACCCAAATATCTAAACAGTTGTATTTCTCACAACTATTGGACAAACTGAAAATTGATACACATTAATGACAACTTCTGGATGTAAACTCCAAAAGACTTTATCGAAAGAAATAATCATTAGCAAGCTTTCAGTACTATATTTCAACACAGAATGAACAAAACTGCACTTGGCCAACTAGAACCCTCCATTACCAAAAACAAACTCATGTCAGCTACCCAGTATTACAGTGAAAGAAAGATGAGAAGGCATCATTTGGTATGAACACAGCAGCTATCATATTCCTTCACAAATGTCTGTTATTGTGCAAGCATAATTAGGCTAGCCTACATCTGCAGTACTCTTTAAAATTTAACGGTTGTAATATTCTGACTGGACAAACTACTAACAAAACGACTATAACCCTTAATTATTAAATATTTAATCCATTCAACAAATATTTATCAAGTGTCTATAATGTTCTTAGGCCAATGCAGGAACTAGGAATACAATGATCAACGAAACAAATGAAAAGTTATGTGTCATGGTTGACTAAGTGGAAAAAAAAAAAAAAAGATCCAACATCTGAGCACTTCAAGAACTGCTTTTATTAAAAAACAAAACAAAACAAAACAAAAACAAGGAACTGCTTTTATTTTCCCTTGGCCTACTAAGCAGATTGTATATACACTCAAACATCCCTTTAGTGTGCTACCATAGCAATAGATCCCAGACTATTTTAAACAGTACTCGTACAACTGAATCTAATATAACACTGTATGTCAACTATACTTCTATAAAGGAAGTAAAAAGTGAGCACTATGAAAGCAAAGCATGCTTTATAATCAGTTGTCTTCCTCTAGGCAAAAAGAGGAGCCCAGTAGCCACACATTCAGACTCTCCGACATTCTTAAGTCTAGTCGATCCTGTTGGCATATGCTTATATTTAGATAAGAGCAAGCAAGCAGACCTTCCCTAACTGAGCCATCAAAGGATACAAACTGACCTGTAAAAAAACACACTTCGAGATGGCAGTATTGTTAGTTTTACTATTACAATGACATCCCACAAAGAGCAGAGATGCATAATTCAAATTGCCTAGACTACATTTCATCTATCAATATGCAAGGTCCTGCAATGACACCTGGCAGAAGCAGTTCTGGACCATGTTTACATAATTATCAATCACTCTTAAAAGCACCAATGAAGTCACTGATGTATCATTTCAAACCCACAACACAGTGAAATATTAAACATTTTCAAATAGCAACAGTATTAGAAAAATTACTTGGCAAAAGAGTACATATTCAAAAACATGAATGTGAGAATGAAAGAACTTAACAGAGTAATTACGAAGTATAAGCAACTAAGAAAACTAAAAACATAAAACTACCCCATACAAAGAAAAACAATGATACGCTTTGCAGTAAACTACAGGCAGATGAGGGACTGGGGTGGGAATGACATGACCTCACAGTTTCATTTCTAGTATCTAAACCAGATGCAAAAGAGATGTACCTATTAACATATAAACCAGCAGAAATGACTGTCAATTATAATAATCAGCCCCAGGATCTGAAAATACCAAGGTAAAATATCCAGCAGCCATCCCTGCCACCAACAGAAGCAGCCAGGAAACATTTGCAACCCACCCGGAAATACTGCAGTACTGAAACGGACCATTGCTGTGTGAAATAGTTATTATGCGGTAGAGGCTTCTGCAGTTCAAAGACTACATACAAACCTCAAGGCAGAAAGCATTCTACTGAAAATTAATTTCCAAGCAAGATTTACCTAACATGTTTTTTTAATGTTATGGTGATTTTCTTTTTATACAGCGCTTCTGGTCCACTTGAACAAAAAGGTTCTATTCATAATAATTTCTGTTGACGCTTTTATCACCAAAGTTACCTTTTGTTTTAAAAGCTTTTCACTTGTTCAATATTTCAAAATAACTTCACAGCATTTTGCTTTATATAGACTAAGGAACTTGATTTCTATCTGGAGGAAGAGAATCTATATTCATGTAATTAACATGGAAAACTCAAGTTTCAAGACTTTATTTCTCTTTAAATTGTTTTCCTTCTAGCTGTAGAGTCTGTCCTATCTCATAAATCTTTCCAATTACAGAACCCTTCAACTATAGTCCCAATCCTGAAGACAAGCAGTGATATAACTTGTTTTTGTAATTAAGAAATTATTTATGTATGTATAAGTTATTAAAATTTGGAGCAATGTTTGGATTCCAGATCCAATCTTGGATGTTCTGACTCAGTGGGTTGGGGCTGACAGCCTGTAGACCAGAAAAAAAGCTTCTGTAAGTTTTTCCAATGCACAATTGGGGTTAAATGCCACTATTTTCAAGTTTTTAAATTGTGTACTTGCCCCCAAAAACTTTACTTCAGACCAAGTAGGCAAGGTAGTTGATACTGTTGACTATATTCAATTAGCACAGGCATGGCCTTTTGGGAATAAAATGATGGCAACGCCAGGCACTCTGCTGTGGCTACACATCTACAAAACTGAATACGTGGCTCACTGACATTCATGTTCTCACAGAAGGTTAAAAGACAGGGGCGCCTGGGTGGTTCAATCGGTTAAGCGTCCGACTCTTGGTTTTGGCTCAAGTCAAGATCTCACAGTTCAGGGGATGGAGCCCTGTGTTGGGCTCCGAGCTGACAGCGTGGAGCCTGCTTGGGATTCTCTGTCTGTCTCTCTGCCCCCTGTCCCCCGCACACACCCTCTAAAAACATAAACACACTTAAAAAAGAAAACAGAAGAAGTTTAAAAGACAATTGCATAATGGAATCCAAAAGATGTAGATGAGGGAAAAAAGAAGAGAGGTACTTCAAGCTGAGGAAACCACTTATTTTTACACAGCCCTTATGAAAGAGGGTTTTGCGGACGATTTTAAATGAGAAAAGGGAAGGTACGTCACGTACTCTTGCAAGTCACTTTTTCCATTGTTACAGACTGCCACCATTCTAAAAGAACAAATTAAAGCCAACAAATTCATTCCTAAACCTAACAGTCTATGATAAGTGGATGAGACTAGGAAAAGGTCCTGAGACACGATGGCACTTTAGGGATTTGGTCTCTGAGAAGCAGATGCAGAACTGAAACTGGCAAGTTTGGGCAGGGTTAGGAGTCAAGTCCCTCTGCTGGCTAAGCTGATCTGACTGAGGTTCTTTCACAGCCCTCAAACTCAAGTTCTTCTGATTCTCTGTAATACAAGATTATTCCTAACTGTTTTGAGGAGAAACTCTACTGCACACCAGTAACTAACAGCTAACACATCCTGGCAATCTTTACTCAAAAAGGAAGTTTCCCATCTGGTCTCCTCCCAAAGTATCCTTAACAAAAAAGTCAGACAAAAGACACTGTAATACTGAAGATGTTCCAAGTCTTCTTACTTCTTTTCACAGCCCTGTTTTCTGGCTCTAGACTTCTATCTGTCTATACCAATACTCCCACAGGACTCATCTCCATTCAAAGCCTTTTCACCTCCCAATCCCAAAACCTGCTGCTTACTTTACCGCCTACAAAAAAGTGAATTAAGCCAATAAATGAGAAATCTATTCCAACACTGAATCAGTTAACAAATGAACTAGTTTATTAACTCCTTAAGATCTACAAAATGTATGATCTTCCATCCATGCATCCACGGAGAACCCCTTTATCCCACACCTTTTTTCCTGTCACAGTGTCCTACTTGTCTCCCAGCTCATTTCTATTGTATTTCACCAAACTACAGGTATACAACTGACCAGAAATTTTAAAACACTGATTCTAGTATGTGTCTAATCTGTGTACACAAATGATCAAGGTACAGGATGACTTCTTTTCCAAGTTCTTTAAATCAAGTAGTCTACAATTTGTATTCTTATCAAAATAAGACATATTTACACCAATAACAAATACAAGGAGCACACAATATATATTTTACAAAGGGGATAAAATGATGATTTTTTTTTCTTTTTTTTTAATGTGCCATCAGAT